GATCTGGACAGGCTGCAGGCCTGGTCCAGAAACTGACTCCTGGAGTTCAACCCCACCAAGTGCAAAGTCATGAAAATTGGGGAAGGGCAAAGAAGACTGCAGACAGAGTACAGTCTAGGGGGCCAGAGACTACAAACCTCACTCAAGGAAAAGTACTTTGGGGCGAGTATAACACCGGGCACATCTCCTGAGGCGCACATCAACCAAATAACTGCAGCAGCATACGGGCACCTAGCAAACCTATTAAACGGCATTCTGACATCTTAATAAGAAATCGTTCAGGACCCTGTACACCCTGTATGTTAGGCCTATATTGGAGTACCCAGCACCAGTTTGGAACCCACACCTAGCCAAGCACGTAAGGAAATTAGAGAAAGTACAGAGGTTTGCAACAAGACTAGTCCCGAAGCTAAGGGGCATGTTCTACGAGGAGAGGTTAAGGGAAATCGACCTGACGTCACTGGAGGACAGGAGATAGGGGAGCTATGATAACAACATATAAAATACTGAGAGAGGAATCGACAAGGTGGACAGGGAGAGGATGTTCCAGAGATGGGACACAGCAACACGGGGTCACAGTTGGAAGTTGAAGACTCAGATGAATCACAGGGATGTTAGGAAGTATTTCTCCAGTCACAGAGTTGTCAGGAAGTGATAGTGGAGGCAGGATCCATACATAGCTTTAAGAAGAGATATGATAAAGCTCATGGAGGAGGAAGAGTGACCTAGTAGCGGCCAGTAAAGAGGTGGGGCCAGGTGTAAATCGACCTCTGCAACCACAGCTAGGTGAGTATAGGCCTCCTACTGACTGGTCATCTGCTAAAACTGTCTATCTACCCTACTTCTAACTTTCAGACTCAATGTCTTGTTGAATTATCCCTTATTCACAATTTCCTTGTATAAATCTTAGTCCTGGCTTTGTCTCTGTGGGCGTCTTCTTTTTCCCATTACATTGTCAAATGCTCCGAACTTCAGAACACATGTGACTTAACCTGATTCTTTTTCTCCTCCTCTCTCCATCTCTTCTCCTTTCCTGTTTTTCCTTTTTCTTTTGGGTTTCCTTTCTTCTGCCTTGGGTGTTCTGTCCTTCACTTCCTCCCCTCCCCCGTCCTGTGTTTTTGGTCTTACCCCTTGTGAGCCCTGAGTTTTCCTTCCGTGCTCCGTTTTCTTGGGCTTTGCCTGACACCACTTCTACTACTTCCTTTCCTACTACCTTTGGCACCTACCTTCACTTTTCCCTCCTTTCACTCCCTCTTTCTAGTCGTGTTCCACAAACCACTCTCCCTACTTTACATTACCACTGCTACTTCTACTACCACTACTACTTCTACTACCACTACTTCTTCCACTACCAGCCTTACTCCTACAACTTTTACTTCCACTACCTGCCTTACCTGTACCACTACTCCTTTCACATCTCTTGTCCCGTCCCTAAAAGCTGGCCTATATATACTGGCTCCTCTCTCTTTTCTGTAGTGTAACGTTGTAAATGGTCCAGGTCGGACCGAAACGTCGTCGTAAGCTCCTGTCTCCTATGTGTGGGTTATTTGTGTATTGTCCCAGTCAAGATATTGTGTTATTGTGCTTTTTATTATTCTTGAGTAGAACATGTCAACATCGTGGTACAGCGGTCTCCAGAATGTGTAATATCCTGTTTATTAGCAATCTGGATATAGTGTAACTTCAGGACTTTGATGGATAATGTGCTGACAGCAATTAGGGCAGTCTCTACACACTTTCGCCGTCTTAAATCGGCTTCCTTAATGACTAGTCTAATTACTACCACTACTACCTCTTCTACTACTACTACTACCCATGCGACCTTCCACCTGACTCGTCACTATATAACTTGTTTCTTAGTTATCTCTGTATTAGGACCAAAGTCACTCGTGGCAAAACGTTTCCTTTAATATCCTGAACTGGACATACTCAGATATTTAACATGAAATTATTCAACATTAGGTTTCTTTAACCAGTAATTCTCATTACAATTATTAATTACAAAATGTAATAAGGATTCATTCACTATTAAATACAATTCACTAACATAGCACATTATAAGTGGCCTGGTGGCCTGGTGGCTAAAGCTCCCGCTTCACACACGGAGGGCCCGGGTTCGATTCCCGGCGGGTGAAAACATTTCGGCACGTTTCCTTACACCTGTTGTCCTGTTCACCTAGCAGCAAATAGGTACCCGGGTGTTAGTCGACTGGTGTGGGTCGCGTCCTGGGGGACAAGATTGAGGACCCAATGGAAATAAGCTAGACAATCTTCGATGACGCACTGACTCTTGGGTTATCCTAGGTGGCTGACCCTCCGGAGTTAAAAACCCGAACGAAATCTTATCTTATAAGTGTATACTGCAATATTATTATTATGTTTAGAGGTAAGGATTAAATCTGTAGGGGTTACACAGTACCTGGGAAATTGGAGAGTCAAGTTCAATCGTTGGCATCAATGAACCTCCCTTGAGAATAGTGCATTGTACGTACTTTGCTTTCCTACAGTTTTTGTTTTGACACTATTGAATTTACGGGTTAAGAACTATTATTGTCTTAGCTCATTTTTAAGTCTGGACCCATGTAAGGAATATTACCAACCCACAAGATGCTAACCACAACAGTCGTTTAACATCCACGTACCTATTTACTGCTAGGTAAGGACTCTCCCATTTTTTTCTATTTCCCTGAGATTTAACTTGTGCTGTTGATTCAATGACTAACAATTATCCAGTAGTGCTATTTCTAAATAATAAAACTTTCGGTAATTAACGGTTAACAAACTTTTGCATAAGGGGATATTCTTGACTATTAACAAATTACCTTGTATTGCATATACATATGGCAATAAGACTGATTTGTCTTCATAATTTAAATAATTTTGGTCTAGCTAAAAATCTCTAGTAAGACAAATACACACTATTGCGATACTTTAATGAGGAAATTTTTCACCAGGAATAACATCTTTGGTGAGGGGCAAGGAGGCGAGACCAGTGTATCTGTGGGGCAGATGTGACTGGCAAGGGCAAAGAAGCCTGTTGCAGAGTTCCAGAGCTCCAACTTCTATGCGATCGTGGTGTCCTGGCCGTGAAGAATTAATCTGGCTAAGATTTCTGATATAATAAATCTGTCAGTGTTCTGGTTGTTACAGTCAAAGCACTTTAGTGACATCGTCCTCTGGTTAATTCTTCCCCGTTGAGAAGTTTAGCCTCGTTAAATTTCATAAGCTGGCTGTGAATATTACGACAAATGGCACAGGAATTGCAATGGTCAAAACTCGTCATCAAGGAAGAACTAACCAGACGACGATGTCTTCATGTGAACTTAGTCAAGCATCTAAATTACTGGGAACACTTGATGTCCCTCAAACTGTACTCCTTAAAACGTATGTAAGAAGATACATCATAATCCACACCTGGACGATTCTTAAGGGATTGGTCCCAAATCTGCCCACCAAAATCACGACATATGAAAACAAGAGGATTGGCATACACGGCAAGATACCTCCGGTGAAAACCAGTGGAGCACTGAATACAGTAAGAGAGGACTCAATAAGCATAAAAGAATCATGAATCTTCAATAGTGGGAATTATCAAGAGATTCCTGTCTGTCTTCAAGAGGGAACTGAATAAATTCCTCAAATTAGTTCCTAATCAGCAGGGCTGTAGTGCATACGTTGAAGTGTGGGTGGCGAGTACCAACAGCCTGATTTATTATGCCAACAACCAGGAGGTTGGTCTATGGCCGGGCTGCAAGGGCAGTGACCTCCGAAAACGACTGCAGGTAAACTTATAGGTAACCAACACTTTCCCAGAACACCGGTAGTTTTATTATTTCGGAAGTCTAAGACAAACTGATTTTTCATGTCCATGAAGTTGGAGTTCTGCAGCACTACAGCAGGCCTACTGGCCCATGTTAGCCTCGTCCCTCTATCCTCTGCTTCACAGCTGTACTAACCTCGCCTTGTTGCACCTCCAGCCCGTTCTCTAGTCACAGACATCATTTTGTTGTTGTAAAGACAGTCTAATGGGAAACTGATGAAGGAACCTTAAAGAGTGAAAATCTCATTTATCATTGTCTTCCGTGGCCCATTGTCTGTTCTCACAGCAGAGCTTTTTATCTGTCTTTATCCTAGATTTATATTTTTTCCATTGTAGTATATTATAATTAGTTATTTTTTATGGATGAAAGACAACCTAACATAGCCTAACTGAAAAATTTGATCCAATCCGTATGTGAGAAATAAACCACTTTGTCTGAATTGTTACTATGTATGATAACTGTACTAATGTGTACCTGTACCTAAATAGATTTACAATTCACTCCACAAACTCTGCCTGTGTTTATCACTAGGACTGAAGAAGCCATTCGTGGTGAAACGTTTAACTCATGAAAGTCAGCACGTCATCGAGGACTGTCTGTCTTATTTCCATTGGGGTCCTTATTCTTGTCCCCCAGGATGCGGCCCACACTAGTTGACTAACACCCAGGTACTTGCTTGCTAGGTGAACGGGACAGCAGGTGTAAGGAAACATGCCTAATGTTTCCACCCTTGCCGTGGATCGAACCACGGACATGTGTGTGAGGCGAGTGTCTCCTACCAGGCCACGGGACACCACTGCCTGGTAGGCCAGGGTGTCCCGTGTCTTGTTTCATCACGTTTGTCAGTATTTTATATCATATCTTGCGTTGAAAACAATTTAAGCGCCTAAGGTAGGTCTCCAGCTATAACCTCCAGGTCAAGTATCTACGATTTTTCTTTGCTTTGATATGCAGGTTACTCCAATTATCTAGTTCATTTGTTAGTAAACTGAATACATTACACTGACGTACTTTTGTGTTACTGATCTACAGAAATAAAACGTACTTCTGGCAATCCATTACAACACTTACTTACTCTTTATTTTTTTAACTTACCCCAAGATTATTATTATATTTATGGGTAAGCACTAAACCTGTAGGGATCAAACAGAACTTGGGCCTTACAGTCTAGAGTATTACCTGCATGTCCGGACCCGGTCAGCATAAGCACCACCACCACAAAAACACTGATCACCATCTTTCCTCGCTGCTCTGCTCTTGTCACCAGCACTTCATCACACCCCACACACACTCTCCCTCACTACTGCCTGGTAATGACTGGTGAGGTGAGTGTGAGGGAGAGAGATGCGTGTGTGAGGGAGTAACACGTATCCACACAACACATGGTCATCCTCCACTGAGTCGCCAAACACTGTCAGCTCTGCCACCATCGCTCACCTACAAGACCCTCCAACCAACAAGTCACACTCCTAATTTATTTACATATACCCACATTTATACTAGCTTACCGCCCTGTTTATATTTATATATGATTAACTATGAAAACAGTGATACATGAATTCTACTTAAGCTTTTGAATACTATCACGAATAATATAGAATAAAACATATAAAAATAATATCGCCCGAACTGGAAGCCAATAAATACGTTAAACATTATGTCTGTACTCAGTGTTTTCCGAGCACTTCTTTACATCAAATTTGAAGTTTCTGTGAATACTTAGATAACGCTCTCATTCACTTGATGTTAAGCACATGTTAATGTTAAAATGTGGATATTTTCCTTCTCATCCATATGCTTCCGAATTGGTGGAGCAACTCGGGAAAAGAATCGAAAGACTGCGAAAGTGACGAAACTCAGTGGGTTGTGCGGGCACTGGCGTGGATGGTAGACGTTCCCAGAGTGTGGGTGTGAAGCCCCAGTTCAAGGCTGTCCTGCCCCTCCTGTCTGCCTCCTGAGGCACGTCCAGGGATACAGCTACAGCAGGACCTTAGGTAGTCCGGAGATTTATTAAGGGGCGCGCTTTAGGGTTGGTCTTATTGACATAAGCTGGGTAAGATATACGGCAAGTGCAGGCTTCCTGTCCCCATCAAGGTCACTATAGATACGATGGGTGTAAAGTGAAACACAAGCATAACTAAGTTTATTTAAAAATCTTTACACAGTAAAAAGAAATGGCTAAGAATTTACTCAAAAATGCTGATGGCTGTGTTTAAGAGATTCCCTGTTAAAAATGCAATAAAGTATATTATGGTCAAACTGAGAAAAACTTCAACTTCAACTTACGACCAGAGCTTTGGTAAGGTGGGTAAGGAAGAAGGATGGGTAAGGAAGAAGGATGGGTAAGGAAGAAGGATGGGTAAGGAAGAAGGATGGGTAAGGAAGAAGGATGGGTAAGGAAGAAGGATGGGTAAGGAAGAAGGATGGGTAAGGAAGAAGGATGGGTAAGGATAGAAATATGGGAAAAGGATGGGAGGGGGAGCGAGGTAGGATATAAAAGGGAAGTGACCCAACCACTTTGGTGTAATTTAAAGTGTGTAATAATAGAAAATTATTGGAGGGGATATAACACTTACTCATCAGAGTCACACAGATATAACAGATATATAGGTGTATGACTCTGAGTCGGTAGTAGATATACAAGTTGCAATTTTTTCTTTCTTTTTTTGCAATTGCATGACGAAGATTTCAACAAGGCAAGGCGATGATTATATAGACAATTCATGAAAAATTACTGGGAACGTTGGCTTCTTTCAAGGTGGTGTCCTGCCATAGTAAATATAGCGAATTATTAATAGTAGATGTGAAAGTAGAAAAGTTATATAAGATATCTCCATAATTAGGGGCTATAATATTCTTAGTAGACATGGAAGGGTTCTGGTGTTACCCAATCATCTTCATCTGCAGGAAGGTTGCTCAAGATCATTGGTCGTTGGTAATCGTCTTTATGGAGTAAGCGACGCAGCCTCTGTGGAAGTGTCTTTCTTTGGGTCTTGTGGGGAGGAGTTTTAATGATATAGTCGGTAGTATTTTCAACTTGGAGAGGATGTTCTCTATCTGGTATGTAGAGTTCTTGCATTCCACAGAGTTACCTCTTCTTCAGCATATCAAGGCGTACATTTAAGGCAGTAATATCCTGTTGTATGTGTAAATCTGCCATTTTGATTCTGTCTCTCCTGGTACCCGTAATAAAGCGGAGAGCTCTATTCTGGACCCGTTACAACCGTAGCATGTTGGTCTTTGTTGTTAACGACATTGGGACACATGGGTATTCGAGTATTGGTCTTATCATCATTTTATACAGATGTTTTTTGACGTGGCAAGGGGCTTGATTAAATCTATAGAGACTAAGACAAGCTTTGGCTATGTTGATCTGTTTACTGACGTGAGATGTTGAGTGGAGCAGCCTGTCTATTTCATATTCCAAGATCTTGTTAGGGTTTCTAATGGCTAATGGCTAATGGCTAATGGAGATACCCCCTTGTCTTCGATGGTTGATCCAAAACATCCTATCGTACTAACCACGACTTTGTCAGGGTTAGTCGTAATTCTCCGTTTCTTTTCCCAATTAGATGCTCGACGAAGTTCAATATTCATTTTTTCTATGACCCTCTCATACTTAAATTTTCTTGTTACAGGGGTTGACGAGACGACATGGATAACATCATCTGCAAATTGCGTTATAATTGCATCATTGAACTCCGATTGAGGAAAATCAGTCACATAAATATTGAATAGAACTGGACTAAGACATGAACCTTGTGGGACACAAGCTGTCGGTATAAAAGGCTCTGTCGACCTGCCGTGAAAGGTAGGAATGATTTTTCTTTGAGTTAAGAAGTTATATATAAATCTGAGAAAGGTCCAGTTATGGTCAGGTAGGTCAATAAGTTTATATATAAGACCATCATGCCATAAGCTATCAAAAGCTTTATGAACATCTCTGGTGGCAATTAGGGCAAAATTGCCCTGATGTTTCAGGCTCGCCACAGCATTGAAAATAATATTTATTGCATGATGGGTACCTCTATGAGTCCTAAAGCCGAACTGTTTTCCAGTAAAGAGGTGATTAAACTCCATGTAATAGTTCAATCTATTGGAAATGATCTTCTCAAGAACTTTGCCAGTGACTTCAAGTAAGGATATAGGTTTATAGTTCCCAGGTTGGTGGATGTCTTTATTGGGTTTAGCAAGAAAGATCATCCTAGCAGTCTTAAAAACCACTGGAAAATGTCCGGAGGCCAAGATGGCATTAAAGATGTTAACCAAAGACTGTTTACAATTTCTGGGTAGGAACTTCATTTGTTTCATTGTTATTCCATAGAGACCAGGGGCTCTATTTCGCATTCTTCCAATAACCTGACTCATCTCAAGTATTGTAATAGGTCTAGTAAGAGGATGGGCATCTTCAAGAGTTGATGTATCGATGGAAGGTAGTGGTTGGAGATCAGCTAAGTTCTCATCTCTCCAGTCATTGACCAACTGATAGTGGTTATTATTAAATCGACGACTGTTATTGTGGGAGAGAATTTTTTCCCACACATCACCCGTCAAATTACCTGGTCCTGTGGATCATCAAGTTGTATTTCAACCTCCTCCTCCTCATCATCATCATCATCATCGCCTTCCAGATTATTCAACTTTCTGACAACTCTGTGACTGAAGAAATACTTCCTAGCGTCCCTGTGACTCATCTGAGTCTTCAACTTCCAGTTGTGACCCTTTGTTGCTGTGTCACATCTCTGGAACATCCTGTCTCTGTCCACCTTGTCCTCCAGTGTCGTGTGTATTCACCTGATTGTGGTTGCAGGGGTTGAGCTCCTGGCCATATCTCGACCCTGTACTCACCTAATTGTGGTTGCAGGGGTCGAGACTCAGCTCCTGGCCCCGCCTCTTCACCGACCGCTACTAGGTTCTCTCTCCCCCTGCTCCATGAGCTTTATCATACCTCGTCTTAAAACTATGTATAGTTCCTGCCTCCACTACATCGCTTGCCAGACTCTTCCACTTCCTAACTACTCTATGACTGAAGAAATACTTCCTAACATCCCTTTGACTCATCTGAGTCTTCAGCTTCCAATTGTGACCCCTTGCTTCTGTGTCCCATCTCTGGAACATCCTGTCTCTATCCACCTTGTCTATCCCACGCAGTATTTTGTATGTCGTTATCATGTCTCCCCTGACCCTCCTGTCCTCCAGTGTTGTCAGACCGATTTCCCTTAACCTTTCTTTATAGGACATTTCCCTTAGCTCTGGAACTAGCCTTGTTGCAAACCTTTGCGCTTTCTCTAATTTCTTGACGTGTTTGACCAGGTGTGGGTTCTAAACTGGTGCTGCGTACTCCAGTATGGGCCTGACGTACACAGTCTATAAAGTGTTGAACGATTCCTTACAGAGGTACCGGAACACTATTCTCAGGTTTGCCAAGCGCCCATATGCCGCAGCAGTTATCTGGTTAATGTGTGCTTCTGGCGATGTACTCGGTATTAAACTCACTCCTAGGTCTTTCTCCTTGAGTGAGGTTTGCAGCCTTTGGCCTCCTAGCCTATACTCTGTCTGTGGTCTTCTTTGCCTTCCTCCGATCTTCATGACTTTGCATTTGGCGGGGTTAAATTCTAGGAGCCAGTTTCTGGACCACACATCCAGCCTGTCCAGGTCTCTTTGTAGACCTGTCTGGTCCGCGTCTGATTTAATTCTCCTCATTAACTTCACGTCATCTGCAAACAGGGACACTTCTGAGTCTATCCCTTCCGTCATTTCGTTCAAATATACCAAGAATAGCACTGGTCCCAGGACTGGCCCCTGTGGGACCCCGCTCGTCACTGGCGCCCACTGTGATACCTCATCACGGACCATGACTCGCTGTTGCCTCCCTGTTAGGTATTCTCTGATCCATTGCAGTGCCCTTCCTGTTATACGTGCCTGTTCCTCTAGCTTCTGTACTAATCTCTTGTGAGGAACTGTGTCGAAGGCCTTCTTGCAGTCCAAGAAAATGCTATCAACCCACCCCTCCCTCTCATTTCTTACTTCAGTTACCTTGTCATAAAACTCTAGTAGGTTTGTGACACAGGATTTGCCTTCCATGAATCCATGCTGGTTGTCGTTTATATTCTTGTTCTGCTCCAGGTGCTCCACCACTCTCCTCCTGATAATCTTTTCCAAGACTTTGCATACTATACATGTCAGTGACACTGGTCTATAATTTAGTGCTTCATTTCTGTCTCCCTTCTTAAAGATGGGGACTACATTTGCCTTCTTCCATACTTCAGGTAGTTGCCCAGTTTCAAGGGAAGTGTTGAAGATTTTGGTTAGTGGCACACGTAGTGTCCCTGCTCCCTGTATGTGTGTGTATGTGTGTGTGTGTGTGTGTGTGTATAATAATTTGGCAGACAGAAACCAGCCAGGAAGGTA